ATTACCATGTCCTAGAGTTCCCTGAAACATAGTTGGGAAACCTAGGTCTGAAAGAAAAAAAGAAGCATTTATTACATGCTTGTAGAGGGCTACGCACTGTGCCTGGTCCTGGACGTGCATTTTTCTCGGGCAGTCTGTACAACAACCCTGAGAGAGACGTTATTACCCCTGCTGTGAGGGAGAACGAGGCTCTGACATGGGAGGGGGTCTTCCCAGGGACTGAAACAGCAGGACCACGTGGGATCCTCCCTGTGCATTCTTTTCTTAGAATAACTTCTCCTTTTACCCCAGAGGTCTTGAAAGAAGGTCATGGACTGATGACCTCAAGAAAATGGGCAGATGCTCCTAGATTCCCCCATAACAACAGCGAGTTCTTATCAAGATGAAAGGAATGTAGTCCCTGCTCACACCCTGATTGTTATCACCCTCCTGTTGCCGTTATTTCTATGAGACCCCAGGACCCTTGTAGAAAGGGGGTCTTGGCCTGCAATTTAGAGACACTGACACCAGGGGGCGAGCTGGACTAAGATAACAGCCAAGTGGAGCTGGTCCTCTGAGTGTTTAGGTTAGAGCATCCCAAATTGCATTTATAGATTCCTCCCTCAGGTGGTACTTGGATAGCACAGAAAATATGAAGATGGTTCTGAATCGCTATGAGTCCATGAGCCCCTGCATGAAATGAAGGCTGAATAGCTTTTCCACTACGTGCATTAATGTTACTTAAAACTGATCCCTGTACCTCCTTGAAATTTAAGAATTGCCAAGAATTCTACCATCTAAGTCTCTCAGGAGCAGGAAATACAAGGAATGCTGTTGGAAACAGCACCAGTGAAATAAAGGGCTTATTTAAGTTTTTTAAATCTGTACATGTTTTATTTATTTTGCCAAGATGACACCTTCTCCCTTTCCAAAATAGTCAGTGTTTAATTTAAAAGAGCTTCCCTTAACGGCCAGAGATGTAATCTTTAACTGAGGCAAAGTCATAAAACGTATCAGATTTGTTCACTTATGTCAAAATTGAAACTGCTCGTTTAACTTTAAATCGGCTCCCTGCATTCTGTTACTTGGCCACTCTTCCTAGCATCCAAATTCTCTCAGAGGGCGTGTTGCCAGCTCTCCTGGCCATTATAGGAAGCAAAGCTGCATCTGAAAAGGACTAAACTAAATACAATGTAAAGTTGAATTCCTGCAGTATCCTTCCAATCCACAATCCATACCCTCATGAGCAATGGAGTGATTGGGTATATGCTTTTTGAAAGTTACATAAACGGCACATTTCATACCACAGGGTTCATTCTGCAGACTGTCATTTCCAGCTACTCTGATGTATTGTGAGATCTTCGAACGTTGGCGTAAGTAGATGCGGTTCAGCCCTTTCTACGGTCATAGATTGCCCGCCTTGGGCGTTCTTCTCCTAACAGAAAAGTACTTTGCTTTGCTGTTACAAAGACCGCAGCAATGAGTATCTTTGTGCAGCGTCCCATGTGTGTGTGTTTAAGAGTTTCTCTAGGCTACATAGAAATGGAAGCCCTAGGTTGTGAAGCTGAATTTCAACGCTGTGAAATTCTTCCTTACTCTTCTGGGCTCATAATTCATCGAGTGTGCGAGAGTTCTCATTTCTCTCCTCATCTACACTCGCATTTTAATGTTTGCTAACCCAGTGAATTTATGGCTTTAATTTGCATAATAATCTCTCTGATTATTGGGGATATTGAGTATCTGTTCAACTCGGCAGTCATTATTAACCCTTTATGCTCCAGCCAGGCTGTCAGCTCCTGGAGGGAGAGCTGCGTCTCACATCTAAAACCCTCACAAGGCACAGTCACATCCAGGCATAATTCTCTTTCTGCTTACCTTTCCCACCTGTACCTCCATGCCCAGCATTGGAGCCCCACCGTCCAAGCTTAGCAAGCCACTCCCACCTCTCCAAATGCTCGGTCTGTGCTCCCACAGTGCCTTTGGTCTGGAGTGCTGTGCCTCTTCCAGCCACTTGAATGTTCCTACTCATGCCCCAAGATTCATCTCAAGAGCTTCCTCCTCTGTGAGGTCTTCTATGACCACCAGCCCTCAGCCCATTCAAGTTTCACCTTGGTGCTTCCATTGGCCCCGTATGAACTTCTCTCTGCCTGTGTAAACCTTCTGAGCCTCTATTTATAGATCTGTCCCCCCAGCACACTCCGGTCTCCTGGAGGACAGGACCCACATCTTATTCCTCTCTGAACTCCTGGTTCATCAGTCAGGACTGAACAGAGGGTGGATGTGCAGTACAAGCTCGTCAGATGGGTGGATGAACCTCAAAACCAGCTCCTTCCACATCAGTCCTTTGCAGACTATCCCCTTGAGGACAAGGACAGTACAGAGTTCATACCACTGATCCCCCATGGTGTCTAACAGGGCCGAGTGTTCGTGGCGTTCACTACCTATCTGTTCACATGACAGTATGATTGTCTGGTAGAGCAGATAATGGCTTTGATCAGAAATTCCTGGGTTTTCAATCCCAGCTTCCTATGGGGATAATCTGGGCAATTTACTTGACCTCTCCAAGCCTCAGTTTCCTCATCTTCATAAAGAGGATGATAATAGCTTTGAGGACTGGGGTAAGGATGAAATAAGATTGTGCACATAAAGCACATGGCATATATTTATATGAATCTGACTAATTACAATTTCCACATCAGGACAGGGTGGGGTCTGCTTTCGCTGCAATACTCTGCATGGCTCATTTTTTTTAATTGCTACATGTGATGAGAAGATGGGACCTCCTCAATAAGATGAAGTTTGGTTTCTCCAGCACAAGAACAGTTTCTTATGGAAATCAGGTACTCAATAAAGAAGTTGAGCTGAACTCAGCACCTTACACATAGTTAGGTACTCAATGATTATTAAATCAAGCCAAAGTCACCACTGTGTACTGCGTTCTGCTCCAATGCCTTCTGTGGGAGAAGGGGAAGTCCCTTTCCTTTTGATTTTTCCAGAGCGTCATGCTCACATGGTAGACTGTTACCGTGGTGAGTCCCCAGTGACCTACACCTGCGCATAAGAACACTCTTGTGCAGCCTCTTCCATTATAACCCTGGCTTGACCGTATGTCTTTTTACTACAAGGAAATTAACAAGCCAGTGCAAGGCGTGATAAGGTCTTACACACTGAATCTTGTCTCCTTGAGAGGCTCCTTCTTGGAACCCAGTCACCATGGCAGGAAGAAGTCCACGAGGAGAGGCCTCACAAGAGAGAGTGATGCCCAACCAGCCCCTAGCTCGGGCATCGGGCACGAGAGAAGCAGTCATTGTCACAGCTACATGGAGCAGAAATGAGCCACACCCACTGAGCCCTGCTCAAACTGCACAATCATAAGCAAATAAATGATTATGGTCATTTTAAGTTACTAGATTTTTTGGTTGGTTTGGAACACAGCAAATAATAAATAACCCACGAGCAGTGCGTGCTCTGAGAGTGCAAGTCAGTGATCTGGGGTGGGATGTGCTGTGACTTGGAGACCCTGCAGGCAATAAGCTTCAGGATCAGATGGTAGGTATGGCTGTCTAACCTGGAACCCTTTCTCTGGGGGATTCTTCTCTGGAGCCCCAATTCCCAGGTCCCTCTCCTGTTGTTACCAGGGTCCCTTATCAGTTAAAGATAAGTTTGGCTTAAAGAATGAGAAGATGCCCAGATGCACATTATAAGAAGTTGGAGTTGGGGATAGGGGAAACAGAGTCTGGCCAGGTATGCGGAGCAGCTCAGTGAGGCCATGGAGGACCCAGATTGCGCTGCAGTGTCTGCATCCTCCGTTCACAGGGAGTCTGCAGGGCATGGCTCCTCAATCAGTAAAACAGGAGTGAGGAGCACTCCCAAGCTTTCCCGGTAGAGAAATGAATTTTCCAGAAGGCTCCACACAGCTGCACCTTCCCTTGCATCTCATTGGCCCAAATCGAGTCACATGCCCTTTTCTGAACCAATCACTTTGTGTGTAGGGGGAGGAGTTAGGATCATTTGCTCCCAATCAAAACTATCCCTGGATTGGAGGGTGAGGGGGCGTGGCCAGTTCTCCCGAAGTCCCTGGGTTCTTGGGGAAGGAATCGATGTCTGGAAATAATTGGGCTTCTGCCAGGGAGGTCATGCAGGGTAAGACCCAGCGGTGTCTGCTACAGGACCCTCCACACAGGGCAAGACATCTTGGGCTTGAGCGGAGTTCCACTCAGCTCTCATGTCCCTTCCGGGATTGTGAGGGGAAGGTACGGGGTGTGTGTGTGTGTGTGTGTGTGTGTGTGTCCAGGGGGAAGGGCTGGGGTGGGGGCAGTTTTCAGGGCTTCCATTCTGGCAGTTGGTCTCTCCAGCACTGCACACCCCCCCACCCCGCCCCCAACCTAAAGAGCGGCACCAAGCAGAGATGGTTCACATGTGTGCCTTCCTTTATTGGTAGCACTTTCTCTGGGCGGAGGGCACCTCTTCTAGGTTGTATCTAGTACTTCGAGCTCTTGTTTTTGCTCTTTTCTTTTTCATCCAGTGCTTTCTGCAAGTTCATGTTCATTGCATTTTTCTGGTGCCACCGTCCTGCAGAGAGCAGAGAAGGAGCCAGCGCAGATCATCCAGAGGATCTCTGAAGTGTCCAGGCCCCAGTAGTAACCCATATGTCTTCCAGGCCCACCCCAGGGCTATTATCTACTGCTCTGGTTTCCCTCGGGACCATGGGGCCAGCACACCCTGCCTAGGGAGTGCCCACTTCCCATACCCCAAGCTGTCCACCTACCCAGATCATCCGTCTTCCTGCCATGCCAGTGCTCTATGTCCCTCACTGATTTCTCAATCACCTCGGGGGTGTAGGAGGCCTTCATGAGGCTCTTCGTCTCCTGTGGGGCTCCTGTGAAACCCCATGAAGAAATTCCCAGAAGCCCTAAGTCAACAGAAGTCAGGTACTCCAGGGTTCATGTCTGGGTGTCAGTTTCCCCTATGGATGGTGGATTGTGGGAAGGCAGGGGACTGGGGAGGGCAAGGTAGAGGGAGGCTGGCCTGGGCTCAAACCCAAGCTCCATCATTTATGAACAGTATGACCTCAGGTAAGTTTTTAACCTCTCAGAACTTTGGTCTCTTCATCTATTCAAAGTAATAAAATGTTCTTGCAAGGCTGGGAAGATTACATTCATTGGAACATCTGGCATGTGGCAATAGATCCCTGTATTTTCAGAAAATGTTCATGTCCGTGTGTAAAGTTAAAACACACACACAAAGAAATAAGCTAACATGATCAAGAGTCCATAGAATCACACAGAGGACCAAATTCCAAAAGATAGTGAAGACATGAATGATCAGTTGCAGAATATAAAATAAGTATAATGTGTTGGGGGACAGTATAGCTCAGTGGTAGAGTGTATGCTTAGCATGCACAAGGTCCTGGGTTCAATCCCCAGTACCTCCATTAAAAAAAATAAAACCTAATTACCTCCTCCCCTCACCAAAAACAAACAAACAATAAGTATAATGTGTGAAGTCAGGAAAAAGATAACTAAAACTATAAGCAAAGAATAAAATAGTACCTAGAAAGAACAAACAGATTAGTGAAAGAAGCAAATGGAATTTTGGAAATTAAACATATAATAGTTGAAAGATAAGTTCAGTGAATGATCAGAGAGGCCTGGGATTTGCTTCAAAATAATCTGGGGTCAGGGTGGATAGATGGGTGGGAGAAAAGATAAACCAAGATTAGTCATATATTAATAATTGTTGAAGCTGGATGATAAGCCACCTATTTATTAAACTAGTCTCTCTAAGTTTAAAAGTTGCCATCATAACATTTAAAAACAAATTCAATGGACAGGTAAAATCTCTAATTAGGTACAGCTCAGAAAATATGGTAAACTAGAGACATATCTAAAGAAATTAAAATACAGCACAGAGAGGGGGAAATAAAGATGTGGAAAATATGAAAAAGGCCTTTTGTTGTAAATATGCTTTAAATAATATTTATTGACTTACTCCACTTATATTTATTCTAATTGCTGCTATATTTGGATTTATTCCTATGACCTTACAATAAAAGGGCACAGCGAGAGGCTAAACATGGAAATATAGAAAAAGATGTACCATGAAAAAGCAAACCTGATCACACTTTTTTGATAGTGGACAAAATAGGCTGTAAGGCAGAAGCACTATGAGAAATAAAACAATTGCATTTCATTCAGGTGATGTAATAATTCTAAACTAGCCACATTGGAATAATCTCAAAATAGGTAAAGCCAATTTGACAGAGCAGCAGTGAGAAATTGACAAATCTGCTATCACAGGGAAAAAACTTACACGCATATCTTTTTGTAAGTAATAAATCAAGCAAAGAATTTTAACAAGGAGTTAGAAGATTTGTATAGAAATAATCGGTGAGCCTGCTGCATTAGACAAATACAGAATTACAGCACTTAACTGCATAAGGTTCTTGTGAAAATTAAAATGTATATAAAGTGCTTAGAGCAGTGCCTGGCACATTTTACATGCTAGGCATAAATCTAGCCATTATTATTATTATTACAAAGAAGTCCCAAAGAATTACAAATTATTGGAACTAATAGGTGAGCTGAGTAAGGCTTTTGGATATAGGATTAATGTGCAACAATTAAAATGCCTCTGTGTATACAGACAGCAAAGTTAGAAAATGTGATTTTTAGAAAGATACCATTAGCAATAAGCAGCAATAAATAAATATTCTTCTAAATAAGCCTAACAAAATACTGCATCATCTTTATAGGAAAAAACTACAAAATGTCATTGACAGATATTAAAAGAAGATTTAAATTAATGAAGATGTAGACCATATTCATGGATTGGAAAATTCACTATCATAAAGCTGACAACCATCCCTAAATTGAGCTGTGGATTCAATGTACTTCCAGTCAAAATGCCAACAGAGTTTGTCATGGAAATTACAAGCTGATTCTAGAATTTATATGGAAGAGCAAAGATCCTAGAACAGTTAAGACATTAGCTGGTGGTGGTGGTGGTGGTGGTAGTGGTGGAGGCGGGGTGGGGAGTGGGGACTGTCAAACCAGGTGTCAGATTACTTATATACCCTGATAATTAAAAGTGTAATATTAGACCCATGGGCAGAATAGAGAGCCTGGAAACTGATCTATGCACGTAGGGAAATTTGAAGGATACTCCCACTGCAGGTCAAGGAGGGGAGAAGAGATTATTCAACAAAAAGTACTGAGACAATTGGTAATCCACACAAAGGAGGAATTTAAAATGAATCCCTGCTTCACACTAAAAACAGAAATCAGCTCCAGGTGGATTAAAGATGTCAATGTGATAAGCAAAAGTAAATATTTTAGAAGACTATATAAAAGATTATCTTTATGACTCAGCAGATAAAAGATTATGACTTTAATTTTCAGGTTATTTTAAGTAGTCTGATATCTGGTTGGCATAGGATTTCTTCATTCCTCCTAGAACCTTCTCTATTGCAGTAAATAGCAATTCCATCCTTTCAGCTGTTCAGGTCAAAATCCTCAACACCAACCTTAATTCCTCTCACTCACACCCCAGATTCATTCATCACCATACTCCATTTGCTCTGTCTTACACAAATACCCAGGCCACCTTCACCATTACCTCTCTGGGCTGCCATATTGCACAATGGTGCCCACCAGAGTCCTGCGGTGCACCAGCCCTGCTCCCGAGACCAAGCCCCCTTCATTTACCCCACCTGGATTTTTGCTTTCACTTCCTCACTGGTCTCCTTATTTCCGCCCCAGTTCCCCTACATCTATTCTCAACATAGCAACTGGAGTGATTCTTTAACCTAAGTCAAACAATGTCATTCTCTGCTTGAGACCCTTCCTTGGCTTCCCATCTCACTAAGAGAAAAGACCTTCCAGTGGCCTTCCCCATCTAGCCCATTTCCTCCCTGATTCCCTCCCCCTCACATCTATCCAGCTATAAGCACCTCCCTAGCATGGGACAGCAAGTGCAAAGACCAACCTGGGAGGTGGGAAACAGCGGGCAGGGTGGGGAGGGGACACTGACAGCCAGGTGGTGAAGGCAACGCCCTCGTTTGTAGCACTTGCCAATTTCTGGAGTGTAAATACAGTTGACCCTTGAACTGCATGGGTCCACCTATACACATATTTTTTGTTCCATCAATATAGTACCTGTATTTTCCTTTGGTGGATCTTTAAAAATTAACTAGGTGTGAGGGGAAGTTTGTGTTTGATTAGAGATCACAGTCTGTGGAATCAAAAGAACTGAGGTTTGAGTCCTGATTCCATCCTGCCTGTCTCAGCTTCCTGCTCTTGGGTGAATCATTTGTCAGTTCCTTTGTTTTTGAGGCAGTACTCATATTTTTGACTGACTGTTGGGGGACAGTGCCCCTGACTCTCCCATTGTTCAAGGGTCAACTGTACTACCATGGCCAATTTTAAGATAGCATTGTGATACCAACCAGTTCAGTAAAATTGAACAGTTAACTCTTAGAACCTGGTGCAAGTTGGTACACACCAGCTCCAGCATCCCCTTGGCACAGCTGTGCTGCTCAGGATGACGGGTACACACATGCTTTTTATATCATTCTTTTATATTTACAGAGACATCACCATATAAAGACGTATGTATGAACTATTGGGTGATGACTGTTAAAGCCACAAGTAGAAGATCGGTTCCCAAGGCCCAGAACAGGACAATCTGAACTGTATTCTCTCTTCCCTTCTCCAGCACCACCCTCTTCTCCAGCTGAAAGGAAAACCCAGAAAGGTTCCAGTGGCTGCCTGGTTCCTTGGATGATGGAGATCTGAGCTAGGTAGGAGGGCTGCCAGGCCCTGGGGGCACTAGAGAAGGCATGGAGTAAGGAGGGAGGGAAGAAGAGGACAAGAGACATGACCTTTTGCAATGAGGTCGAACTAGAACGTGGGACCAGAGGGAAGCAGCTGCTGGTTGACGGGAGGCCCCCACCCCAGCAATCGTTTAAACCCTTGGGAACAGGGTCATAGACTGACAGGTGACCCAGTGCCAGGAAGCTTTGGGGCTTTGGCGGCAGAAGAAAAACCTGGATTTGAGTTTCAGATCTACCTCCTACTACTGCAGAGGTTCTGGGCCAACCGTTTCTCATCTGCCTTTGAATTGGAGCGAAAAAGCGCTCCCCTGACAAACAGGACGCGGGGGACCCACAGGACACACTGCAGATGTCCGGACCTCCAACCCACGCTTTGATCCAGAAGTGCCACCACTGGGCTCTGGGAAAGAGAAATGCTAGCCCATCACCTACTATGGACCCACTATGTGCTGCGGGCATAGGGGCTCCATGCAACTCTTCACAGAATCCTGCCGGGTTACTAGCCCCATTGTGCCAAGGAGACAGGCTGAGGCTCGGAGAGGTTAAGGATCCTGCCTGAGGCCACATCCATCAGCTGAGCCGAGCTTTGAACCCAGGAAGCGTGATGTTGTCACTGTGACCAAAAGTAGCCAGGCCAGGGGTGCCCAGGCCTCCTCTTGGCAGATTAGGACACCAAGGTACAGGGGGTGAGGGGCTGACTGCCCGCAGGGATGGAGTGTCTGCAGTGAGGACAGACTTGCCAGGGGATTGGACAGTCCCAGCACTCAGCACAGGCCCGGCGTGGTGGAGGCCCTTGGTAGCTGTGAAATGAGTGTCCCTGGGGATGTATTCTGGGGTCTTAAGATTTCCTTTGGGGCTTAGGAAGGGATCGACATCCCAAAGGCCTTGGGGGCCGTGGGTGTTCGCGGGCACCCCCAGCACCGTGCCCTTCCGCCTGACCTTGAAACAAGTTTGACCGCATGTTGAAGCCCAGATCGTAGTAGTCTGAAAAGATGGAGGTGATTTGCTTGGGACTCTGGATCCTGCTGGCCCAGGAATTTGTCCTCTTTCGGCCCTCGAAGGCTTCACCAATGGCCCTTCGAGCCTGAGTAGGGAGGGAGGGAGGAGACACAAAGGCTAGAGAAGCAGGGTCAAATCCCAAGTTTCCCCTCTAATTCGGCCTTCCTCTGACCTGGCCCTCCCCACCCCCATCCCACCCTCAGCCTGCAGCCGTCACCCAGCTCCCAGGCCTGGGAGCTGGCACAGCTGAAAGCGGTCCACCCTCCCACACCATCCCACCTCCCACACAGGCCTGGGGGATCAAGAACGATAGCGATCAGGAAATCTCCTCCCTGCCTTGGGCACTTACTTTGGAACAGCATCAAATGCCTTTCTCAGAGGGTATTATTCTTGCATTTTCTAAGTAAGGAACCTGGGCCTCAGGACAGGGACTCACACAGCCCTGGCTTGCCCCGCCCACCACGGAGGCATCACACAGGTCAGCTCTAGGTGGCTTCTTAGATCTCACCAGGGCCAACTACTTCCTCATACCAATGGGGAAACTGAGGCCCAGAGTGGTTGAGCCCAGGCCTAGGAGCCATGAAACCTAGGTAGGAGTCCCAACTCTAACATATACCAGCTGCTGATTTGAGCACGCTCTGCTGCCCTCTAGGCCTCAGTTTTCCTACTTGTAAAATGGGGGTAGGGAAGAATTGGATGTCTTTTTTTTTTTAAACGTATTTCTAGCTTTACTTTTGATTCTTTTTGGGTGGGGGAGGGTTGGGTTTATTTATTTATTTTTTGACGGAAGTATTGGGGTTTGGACCCAAGGCCTTACGCACGTTAAGCATGCACTCTACCACTGAGCTATACACCCCCACCCCCAGTGATGGCCTTGAAGTAGCTTCCAGTGCTGAAATTTGCTGGATTGATGACACTTGTGATCTGGAACACAGCGACAGAAGAATCAGATCTCTTGGTTCAAGTCCAGGATTATGATGGCCAAAGAGAGAAGTGACACCTTCCCAAAGCCAAGAGGGGCAGAGAGAGATAGTGACCACACAGCCAACCTCAGACTGGGACAAGATCCTCCAAGTGGGGCAGGGCATTTAGGGTTGTGACCTCCCAGACTAGCAGGTGGCCGGGGTGGGGGGGCATACCACCTTAGGAAGACAAAGTGGAAAGGGACCACGCCCACAGCCTTTGTGAGCCTGGGTCTTCTTCTACTTTCCCAGTGTGACCCCAGGCAAATCATATCACCTCTGTGAGCCTCAGATTTACCATCTGTTAAAAAGGAAGCAGTGACTTCTGCTTGGCCTGCAGCACAATGTAGTCACTGTAAGGGCTGAGAGGGTGGCTTTGAAAATATATCCCAAAATGTCAGAGCAGGTGATCACTTGACTAGAAATGACAGATGAGTTTTAGTTCAACTTTCTGTCGATCAGCAGTAAGTTCCTAGAATGATGTATCAAGTGCGGAAAAGTGCCAGCATTGATTAGTGATGTCTGCCACAAGTGCAGGCTAGGAGAGTTATGGAAGGCACGCCATGTATTTGCCAGCCAGACCTAGTCTAACTGTCTCACTTTACAGATGTATAGAAACTAGAGCCCAGAGGAGGGAAGTGACTTATGAAAAGTCACCCAGTATTCAGGGGCAGAGCTGGGATTCGAACCCAAGTCTTCTGATTCCCAGTCAATGCTGTCCCCCTTAGGAGACTTAAGTTAAAAGCATCTTATTCAAGCACCAGAGTTATAACTGCAAGGTCACTAAGGGCCAGGGCTCTGGAATCTGCTAAGCAGTTCGGAGCCTCATCGCACACAGCTGGTTAAGTTTGGTTAACTTACCTAAGCCCTCTAAGCCTTGAGCTGCTAATCCATGCTGGGGGTCATTTATAGTACTTCCTCCATTGGGAAGACGGAGTGCCTAGATGTGACGATTTTAAATAGAGCACAGTGCCTGGCATATAGCAAGTGCTCAGTAAACAGGGCTTTCTGATGATACTATTAGAGGGACTCTAAACTCAAGAGCAGCTTCCTTAGGGATCCTCTTTCTAAGTCCCCACATGTAACCTTCTTACCACCCTTAACCTCCATGCTCCCTTCTGACACCTGCTCCTCGGAGACCAGTTGGTCCACCACGTTGCTCCCGAACTTGTGACGAATGTTGTTAGGGATGCTGCTGCTCCTCTGGCCCTGGGACCCTGTGTTGGAGCCTTCCTCCAGCCCCTGGCACGGCTTCGCCCTGCTCTCCCTCGAGGAGGGTCTGTAGCTCCCCTTCTTCGGGGACCCAGGCTGTGAGTCCCTCCAGGGGGCGCCCTGGCTGACGGCCGTAGGGGGTGGAGGCGGGATCTCCTCCATGGAGGCCTGTCCGAGGGGGCTGCCTCGAGGGCTGTCTCCCTGGTACAGGGATGGCTGCGGGGAGACTGGGACTTGGTTCTTGAACTTGGACGTATTCAGGGGGCGATGGGCAGTTCTCCAGGGGTCCATGTCCTGCTCGCCTTCCTTGTTGTTGTTCAGCTGGGCCCTGGTCAAAGTGGTCGTACCTACACAGGGAAGAGAGAGAGAGGGAAAGAGGGCAGACAGACAAATGCAGACAGGGAGGGCAGGAAGCAAGGCAGCAATGGGGACAGGGAAGGGGAACAGAGAGGCAGAGAGCCCCAGAGATCCAGAGCAGAAAGATGGGGACAGAAAGAAGTCAGAGGAACCAGAAACATGGATGAGAAATCAGGAGGAGACACAAAGAGAGAAGGTAGTTTGGCCTGCCAAGCCTCTGACTGCACAGATCAGCCCTCATTGTTTTTGACAACAGGGGCTGCAGCCCCAGCCTGTCTAACCTTGAGGCTAGCTGTGCAACCTTCAGCAAGGAATGTGACGTCTTTGTGCTCTAGTGAACCGGGCTCCATTTGCTTAGTCCCCTTCTCCACCTTGAACCCCCCAGCAGTCCAGTGAAGAGAGCTAGCAGCTACGGAAGCTGGCAGAGGGCATTCCTCAGCTTGGCCGAGTTGCATGGCTGGAAAGTACCCAAGCTGGATTGGGCTGGCCTTCGCTTCCCGTTCAGAGCCTCTCCCCAACCCAACTCCCCTCCTCTATTCTCCAGCTAATGGAGCAGTGTCATCCCAGCTCTCACACCCCCACCTCTCCCCTCCCCTCCTCCTACCCATAGTCCAGCCCCTGATTCCCAGTTCTGGGGAGTGGGGGAGGGGGGTAGTCTCCTGCTCCCAGCCTGAAGATCTCCTGATTCTCATCACCCATCCCTGTCTCTAGCCAAACAGACTGCTGCTTCTCCCCTGCCATATCCTACAATGTCCCACCTCCCAGCATTTCCCCGGGCTGGTTCTGCTACCTAGAAGGCCAGCCCCTCCTTTTCCCTAAGTCAAAAATCCTACTGGCTCCTTCCAGTGAAGCCCCACCAGGATGTCCTCCCTGATACCGACTCCAAGCTGGCTGAGCCAACGCCTCCTCTCAATTCCACAACTTTGTCCCCACCACACTCCACGCATCTCTGAGTTTTCCCTTTCTCCATCCTTGTGAGTGCAAACCATCTCATTTCCTCTCCTTGATGTGTGTGTATTTGGGAGGCGTCATTGAGGCAGGGTCCACAGGTGAGTCAGTCCTGGGCCTCCCTCAGCACCCACCGGAGAGCCCTGTGCATTGGAGATGGTGCTGGTGTCCATCAGTGAGGGAGTGAATGAGTAAGTGACTACAGGGGTGTCAGACCCAGGGTCACCCTGCATCTCATCAATTCTAAGATGTCTTTTCTTCTCATGTTAGCATCTTGGGCATCAGGCTGCATCTGACAACCAGTGGGCCCTGGTCTAACCAGCAGTGTTTTCTTTCTCAGTGATAGGTGAGTAACGTAGTTACAGTGCATCTTTCAACACACTGGATGGCAACTTAAAATACACATGTATATAACATTTCACACAGTCCTGGAGTAGCATATAAATTCCTTCTTACTGTGCAAAATAAAGCTCAGTCTATCCCTGCCTTCCCCTCACACACAGCCATCCCCTCAGTCCTCCATCCCAGGTTATAGCTGTGAATTTGTTTGGTGAGCTTCCCACCAAAAGCACTTTAGATGCATCCTCCAGCGCTCTTGAAAGATACACAGTTTGGCTTCACCCATGATTATAAATGAGATCGGAGTCCATGTATTGCTTTGTAACTTGCTGTTTAAAAATCAAACACTATGCCTTAGGGACCTACTTAGCAACAGACATAGACCTAACTTTCCATTTAAACTGCGCAGGCTTTAGCCGCTGCCCCACGGGTGGACGTTCAGATGGTTCCAGGTTTCTGTTTCAGAGAAGGCTGCTGGCCCTGGCAGGCTTTGCTGGCCATTGGGGCTTTTATTGCACTTTCACCGGATCCTGCTCTGCTGCCACCAAGCAGTGATGCTCTGGAAAAACTCCTTTTGCCCATGCGTCAGGGGCTGCAGACCCTTCCCCAGGGCAGTGGGGAAGACTGAGGTCCAGTCCTGCCTGCTTCCTCCTCGCCTTTCTTCCTCCCACCATCACCAGCCCATCGAGCTAAAGTCAAAGTATTCTGTTCTTGCCCCTTTGTTGTCCAAACAAAGGGCAGAGGAAAAACCTGCCCCTCAGAGAACAGACTGCCTTCCCTCCCTCCTGTCCTGGGTTCTGCCCCAGCGAGCAGGTAACTAAACAAAAGGGCACCTCCTCCGAGGACAACTAAGGCTTCCAGGATGGGGACGGTGACTCTTCTCAAAAGAATGGAGGCAGAGAGCTTTAAGAACACTCGGCACCCATCTGATCAACCACAACCCCTCCTTGTGCTCATGGGAAGACAGCGGCCCAGCACAGGGCTGGGTTCCTCCTGAGCCTGCAGGACTCAGGACTCCAGGATCCGAGCTCACGTTTCCCCCAGGCTGTACTCCTGCCCGCCTCCTCTAAGAGCGGCATATTGTGATTGTCTGCTCACCCTCTACCTGCCCTTTAGGGGAGCTGTAACGGCCAGGACCGTGTCTTGCGTCTTCTGGTTCAGAGAGCCACTGTGTTCACCAGTTCACCCCTTGTGCAAGCACCTACTGTGTGTCAGCCTTGTGCCAGGTGCTGGGGACATAACAGCGAGCTAAGTGGACAAACCTTGGTCCTCTTGGGCTGTTTGTTGAATGAATGAATGAATGTCTGCATCTGGCATCCTAACAGTCTCACTGCAATGCCCCCCTTCCTCCACTTCCTTCCTTCAACTATAAAATGGGCAAAGTGAGTCCTACATCACTTGCTAGTGTGAGGACGTACATTTAGCCTGTCCCTGCTCAGTGCGTCCCTGGTCGGCCTGTCCTACCTGCTTGGTGGCCCAGCTCCATCGGCTCTTGCTCTGGGACAGGCAATTCTGAGCTTAGTCCTGTAGACAAAGAAACACATACGGTCGTTTCAAGTGACACAGAGTCTCTGTAAACAAGGATGAACTGAAGGCTGAACAGGGAGGCCTGTGGCCATCTGCCCAGCCACTGGCCAGAGGTCACCCCATGCTGCTTCTAGGGCTTTCTAGCACCAAAGCGCCCCCTGCCCCATCCAGCCACCACTCCAGCACTGGGCCTGTCTCCTGGACCCCTGTGGGCTGTGCCCTCTCTGAAAAGCCCTCATCACCCCACAGCCAGTGCCTCAAAGGCCCTCCCAAACAGCCTAGGACCCAGGGCTCCTCTTCCTCCTTGGCAATCTTTTTCTTCCATCTTCTCCCCCCTCTGCACCACCCAACACCCTCCTAGGAGCCCCCAGCAGACCCCCAGCTAGGGGAGCGTGACCCCAAGCCCCCCATCCTGGTGACTATCTGCCTCCCTGCAAATAGGATTTTGCCCATCTTACCAGCTGGTCCTTCAAAGGAAAGAACCAGCTTGGCCAACGTGGAGGAGAGCTCCATACAGGAACTGACTCTGAGGAAATCTCAGTCTTCCCTCTAAAGGACAAGCTTTCGGGTTAAATCTGAGGGCCAACTCTGGCTTCTTCATAAGCCTCTGCAGCTTTCAGGTTTGTGTTCCTTTTTCCTAGGTGATCTTTTTCTTATTCATAGCCTCTTATTTTATCCCATGTTTTTTAAAGGCTTTTATGAATTTTGTAATATGAATAAAATAATTTATTGTATAATGGATGTTTGACACCCAGATGTAAGTAATAAATATCTTCGTCATAAAGAAAGCACAGAAGCGGCGAGGCAGAACTGGAAGGGGTCTTTGAGGTTAGCTCATCCAATCTCTTTATTTTACAGATAGAGAAACTGAGAACCAGAGAGAGGGAGTGACTTGTCTGAGGTCACTCAGCAGGTCTGTCAGCTAGTAAACTCAGAGCAGGCTAAGAGCTAGATCAATTTTATTCTCTTGAAAAATTGCCAGCAAAACACCCTATTAATTCTGACACCTAGTGGTTTGGTGATTACGCAGCATCTGATAGGACTCTTAATGACCCTTATCCCCTTGGTATTGTGTTGCCCCACAACCCATGAATGTGGGATCGACCTAGTGACTTGCTTCTGATCAAAAGAAGAAGACAAAAGTGAGAGAGTGTCACATCCAAGGTTAGGTTAGTGACTTCTGTCTTGCTCTCTGGATCTCCTTGGCTTGCTCGTTCTGATGGAAGCAGCCACCATGTTTTGAGTGGCCCTAGCGAGAGGCTCACGTGGCAGGAACATAGGGTGGCCAAAAGCCCATAAGGACCAGAGATCTTGTTCCAATAGTCCTCAAAGAATTGAATGAATCCTGCCACCTGAATGGTTCTTCCCCAGTTGAGCTTTGATATGAGCACAGCCCAGCCAACACATTAATTATAGCCTGTGGGAGACCGTGAGCCAAGCCACACCCAGCATCCTGATCCATAGAAACTGTGAGATAATAAATGTGTACCTTTTTTTTTTAGCATATGATTTGCAGTCACTAAGCTTTATGAGATTTTTTACGCAGCAGTAGAGAATGTACATTTTGGTACCAGGAGTGGAGTGCTGCCGTAACAAATACCTAAGAGTGTGGGAGTGGCTTTGGAACCAAGCAGTAGGTGGAGCCTGGAAGGATTTTGAGGACCATGATGGAAAAAGATCAAATTGGGTGATCTAGTGAAGGAGATTTGCAAGCAAAATATTTAAGGTGCCTCCCAGTTTCTTCTTCCTGTTTGTAGTGAAACATGAGAGGAGAGAGAGAAATTGAAGGAAAGATTATTAAAAGAAAAGGAGACAGAATTCAATCGTTTTGGAAATTCTCATCCTCTCCAGATGTCAAAAGATGCCAAAATTAAGAAATAGCTTCAGAGGACTGTTGGGAAAATGCAGCCAAGGGTGTGACTGCTAAACCCTTAGAAAGAGGAAAGCTTGGAGTATTATTCAGTCACACAAAGGGCCCTTTAAAGAGATAAAGACATGACTCACGGATCCTCGTAGTGGAACAATAGGGCCTCTTGGAAGCTTAATGTGACTTTTGTCTAGTGGAGTGAACCTCTAAGTTTCACAGCTTTCGAGAAAACTAAGTTGGCAAAAATACTGCCAGCTTGGACTGAAAGGGACAGAAACAGTACAACATGAAAAGAGAGAGACCAGTGGACTCCCAAATTCTACCGGCAGAAAGCAGTCTGAGAAAAGCAGTCAGCTGCAAACACATGCTTCTTTAAAAAACAAAAAACAAAAAATAAACAAACAAAAAGATACCACAGTAAGTGAAAGCGACAGTCCGTATGGCAGAGCAGAGAGCCATGGAGAATTACCTCCAGGACTTGAGGCCAATCAAGGAAAGTCCAGCATTCGCCTGGCTGGATTTCGGAATTGCTATGGACCAATGACTCCTTCGTGTCTCCGTTTTCCTCATTTTTGAGCAGGAATGTCTATAGCTCTTATCCCATTTCTGCCACCCCATTGTATGTTGGGTGTGTTCAGGGCAGATGGCTTAGTTTCACAGAGCTATTGATGGGGAAGAGTGACATCCAAGGAGGCTCATCCACACCTGGACCCAATTTATAGGATGAGATTGTAGATTGTAAGCTGATGCTGTAATAAGATGAGACTTCTGGAGGTCTTGGGAGGGGAAAAATGTATTTTGTGTGTGGAATGGATGTTTATCATTGGAGGCTACAGGGTGGACCCAGTGGGCAGTAGGCGTGGCTCCTAATGACCCCTATTCCTTGGTATTGGCACCCTTGTATAATTCCAACACTTCGAGGATGGGCTGGATCTACTGACTTGCTTCTAACCAATAGAATACGGTGAAAATGATGGATGCCACTTCTAAGATGACGTTATAAAAGACTGTGACTTCGATCTTGTTCACACTCTCTCTGGCTTTTCTTGCATTGATGAAAGCAGCTTCCATGTTGTGAGCTGCCTTCTGGAGAAGCCTACATGACAAGGAGCTGAGGGCCTCTGGCCACCAACTCATGAGGAACTGAGGCCCTCAGTTTAGTAATCTGTGAGTACAGGGAACTATATTCAATATCTTGTAATAACCTTTAATGAAAAAGAATATGAAAATGAATGTAAGTGTGTATATGCATGTCTGGGACATTGTGCTGTGCACCCAAAACTGACACATTGTAACTGACTGTATAATAATAATAATCTGTGAGTAACCAAATCCTACCATGTGAGTGGCCATGGAAAGGGGTCCTTCTCTAGTTGAGCTGTGAGATGAGACTGAAGCCCCAGCCGATACCTTGATCACAGTCTATGAGAGACTCTGAGACAGATGACCTGTTGAAGCTACATCGATTTTCCTGACCCGCAAAAACTATGAGATCATAAATGTTGCTGTATTAAGCCGCTGAGTTTGGGGTGATTTGTTACGCAGCCGGAGATAACGAATACAGCTCATATGTTAAGCATTCTCACATCTAGCTGATTAGTCTCTTTCACAAGAACTCAGTGAGGTGTTCAAAGAAAGTATTAGCTCACCCTCTTTCACAAGTGGAGAAACCGAGGCTCAGAAAAGAAACAGGACCTCACCCAGGTGCTGAAACCAAGCCCTACTTCTTCTGTCTCTTTCAAGTTCACTTTCTGCTCCTGTCGCTGTGCTCCATCCCCAGCCCCCCACCTGATGTGCCCACAGCACTCCCATCTCCCCAGTGGCACCCTCAGCCCAGAGCAGCCTGGACTGCCTTGAAAAGAACTGTGGACTCACTGCCAGTTTCTGATCTGGAGAGAAAGGCCCCAAGAGATGTCAGTCAAGGAGGGAGAGAAAGTAGGTCCTGTTAGGTCTGGCACTCCACTCACGAGCAACTCTGCATGGAAAGAAGGAAGATGAAGTCCTGTGTCCTGGCAGATCCCTGACCCACCTCCGGGTCCCCGCCTCACCTCTCCACTCTCTCTCATCACTTTAGAAAACACGTGAACCACCCTGGTGTGCGCTGAAGCCCAAGAGTGCAGATCTGCGCTGCACCACTGCTGCTGGAGACCAATGGATGGTTGCTGAGGAGTGGCCCTCCCCCTTTATTGGAGTTGCCATGGTGATCACTGTCCTCAGGGCTCTGTTACCTCAGAGGGCTGATAAACCCACCCTGGGGGACAGAGGCTAGGAAGAGTCAGTACTGAGGGGGCAGCAAGGGCCTTCAGGTGTTGTTCATTCTCATCCACTCAAAATGTCCCCTGAGCACCCACCATGAGCCAGGCTGTGTGCCAGGCACAGATGGCTCAGATGCTGTCAAGTGTGAAGGATGTTCTTAGGATTACAAAGGATTAAGAAGAGAGGGTGATTAGTTTTGTCTAGGGAAGAGGAGGTGGGGCTCACAGAAGGGCCGTTTGAGCTGGATCTTGAAGGATGTGTAGGAGTTTAACAGTTTAAAAGGGACTGGAATATTAAAGGTACAGGTGTGCTTATGAGCATAAATTAGGTCAAGAGGAGTAGGGAGGGGACAGAAAGATGCACCTGGAGCTGCCTGAACAGGGAGTGAAGGGATCAGGGGTAAAATTAGAGCAGAGGTGGGACAGCATGAGTCTACCCTCCTCCCCTTAAACCACAAGGGCTACAGAAGATTAACAAAGTTGAATGACTTCTGCAGTTTGTTCTGAACAAGCTTGGTCCTGCCTGGCTGTTGCTCAGCTGAGGGCAGGGAAAGAGAGAGGGATTGGGGAGTTAAGAAATGCCTCTTGCATGCCCAGCCTTTCAGGGTCTCCCAAGGAGGCACAGAGCATAGTTAAACTTGGGGTCCCCAGAGTCTGGGCCTGCCACTTATTAGAAGAGTAACTTTGGCCAAGTTCTTTAGCTGAACTTTCCTTGTATGTGAAACAGCTAGGGTTAATAGAGTTCTCACCAGGAACCAAATTTGTCGGCACCTTGATCTTGGACTTCTAGCCTCCAGAACTGTGAAAAATAAATGCCTGTGGTTTAAGCCACCCAGTCCCATTATATCAGCTCAAGACAGCATCCCACTCCTTTGCCACATTTTGTTGGTTAAAAGCAAGTCACAGCTTCCACTCACTTTCAAGGGCAGGGATCACACAGGGAGTGGACATCAGGAGGCATAGATGATGGGGACCGCTCTAGGGTCTGGCCACC